AGGAAACGCGCCAAAGGACGAGGTTACAGGGGCCAGGGGCGCACACAACAACGTAGGCGACCAGCACGAGAACAATATGATAGTAATATTTGAGTCCTATTTAACGTATATGGTATTAGACCTATATAACTTAAGCGATGCTATAGCACGACATATAATATATCTATGATAAATATCTATTTTATTGTTATAAAATTCGGGCAATATATAGAATCATGCTACCGAAAAAGCCGGATTTTTTTTAGATATCACGAAAAAGTTGGAGATGTCATATCCCAAAATAAACCATGTCTAGTACGAAATCCCACCATCTAAATTTTATTTAATGATATTTTGCCGCGAGTTTGCCGACGATCCCAATAACATCGTGGGATTTTCATAACTTCGTACCGACGATCGCGTAATATTTCAGAATATCAAAAAATCAATATTTATCTTATCTATTTTCAGCCAATTTCATGCTAAAACCAGAATATAATTGAAATTTTACAGTACATTACGAAAATTTGAATTCATGTCATCATAGTTCATCGCTCAACAAAGCAATTCTAAATTAATAGAACACGAAAATTTCTTGTGTTCGAAAACAATTAAATATTTACTTTAAAGGACCCGAAATTTGGGGAACTTGCTAATCTAGAATGTCTATCGGGAAAATAAGTTCAATTCTTTCTATACTTTTGCTAATTAAGCCCGTGCAGTTCAAGTTACGAGCTGGCCCTGTTTTCGAAATGAAAAGCTACAGGATCTATGCGGTTTGTGGTGAAACACAGCGTGAAACTAGTTATGTTGGCATGCTGCTTCTGCAGCGCCACACACTAGTAGAAGCCGTCCTCGATCAGCTGCTTGCATGTTTTGATGCCTTTCTCGCGTTGAATCTCGCGCCTTAAGTTCGATTGCACAGGCTGAAGCACGGAGTATCTGATCATTTACATCAAAGATTGAAGCTGTGGTGGTTACCTGAACATCTGCGAGCTTAAGTTCAGAAGTGGACTCCCCGAGTATCCGGCAGGAGAGCTCCACACAAACCAACAATTCCATCGCCGATCATCTTGTCCCGTGGCTCGCAGGCTATCTGGGACATAGCTGCAAGTGGCAGCTGTTGCCATGTGATGTGAAACACACTCCCCTGCACCGCACCTCTCGGCCATTGAAGCCAAACTCTGCCATTTCCGCAGCGTTGCCCGTGTGGTCGTCAAAGAAGTACACCTGACAAGTCAAGTCCCTATGACTATGGGTAGTGACCTGAAGCGCATCTTGCATGTGCTCCTAAGAAGCATTGCACAGATTCTCAACGGCCATAGTCGCACAATTAGCACGGACGCGCTGATAATAAGGATCAGTCACCTCATCTTTGGCGATGCCGGCTTGCTTCTCATCGTTCAGCCTCATAAGACAGGTTCCCACAAACGACTTCAGCAGAATAAGGGGAACATGTCAATATCCTGTCACGAGGCAAACATGTAACAGGAACAGCTCCCAACAGTGCTCCAACTGGGCTTCACTCCAGTCGTACAGCTTCTTGGCAGCCTTGCCCTGACCCCACGAATCATCCCCCAGGGTAGATCATGACGCAGCGTTTTAGCACAAGAGCAACCCCACCTTGTCTGGATCCGGACAGAAGATTATCTTCTGTGCACTCATAGGGCCTTCTCCCCAATGACCTCAGTAGATGAAGAAGGAGCTTGCAATAGCTTGCGCATAGCACAAGTGGACGTCATGCAATGCGGTAGAACGCCAAAATGCAGTGAGCGAGGTGTCCTGTGTTCTTATGACTTTGTTTAACAGTTCATGCGAGCATCTCGAAAACCGAGCAGTCTTTCTGTTGTACGCTGCTCAACGTTTTACATCGTGCTCCTGGAGGCTCGAGGGAGGTGCTTGCCAGGCCTCAAATGCATAATTGTCCCTATACCTGACATTGAATCTCGTCTCCTTGAAAACACTGGGAAAACATCGGGTAAAAGGCGGGCAAGAAGCACTGAAGCTGTGTTCCGCGCTTTCATTGCCAGGTGCAAGTATGTATCAGAGTCACCGGCTGAACGTAGCATCGCCAGCTTTGCCAGGGGAGGCAGCATCTAGCTTGGACTCAGTTCGGAGGCAACGGCAAAGTCTGCGAAGATAAGCAAAAGCAGCGGCTGCCAGATTGAGGCGCAGTGAACTCAGCACCCCACAAACAAAACTCCTTGCTCATCAGGCCCACTGCCCTGATACCGGTTCCGTTGAGACATGTTGAACTCATGTTGAGGAGCTACTTCGACGACATGACAGGCGGTAAGCTTGACGCTCCACCGGCAGAGATGATTCCTGTGGCATGTGACATGTTTTCAAGTTCCCTGCACCCGGCTCTGCCGTGCTCGTGCAGAAAAGCCACCCATGTGGCACTTGTCTCGGCTGCAGAAGGTCTGGTCCAGGTGTTGAGCCACCTCCTGAGGAGATGACGTCTCGAGTTGCAGCAAAGCCGTATCTGCAAGGATCCCGACCGAAAGGAGAAGCGGTCCCCCGCCATAAGCATAGTCCATAATAACCTTGCCACCTCAGTCTGCTAGGCCGGCGAGGTACGTCATGCTGGACAAAGTTCGCATCGTCTGGGTTCAATACTCGCTTGCTTCTGAGCCTTGTGTGTGTTGCAGGACTGCGCTGGCACAACAAACGTGTCACTTGATGACAAACCGAAACCGCGACAGC